CAGCTGGAGCATCGCTGAGGCTTGCGGAAGCATCACAGACAAGTATGACGCATGTGCGCGCTGCACGTGTCCGTGTGGGTGATGCCGGGGCCGTTCCAATCGTACCAGTTGGAACGGAATCCGGAACCCACTACTGATTTAAACCCTTTAAATCTCTGCAGTCCTTTTGGTCTTTGATAGCTTCCTCAAATATACCCTAAATATTAGTATAAAGGTAAAGGTTCCCCTCGCACATATGTGCTAGTTGTTCCCGACTCTAGGGGGTGGTGTCATCTCCGTTTCAAAGTCGAAGAGCCAGTGCTGTCCGAAGACGTCTCCATGGTCATGTGGCTGGCATGACTAAACACCAAAGGCGCATGGAGCACTGTTATAGTCCCACCAAAGATGGCTCCTATTTTTCTACTTGCATTTTTATGTGCTTTCGAACTGCTAGGTTGGCAGAAGCTGGGACAAGTAACGGAAGCTTGCTCCATTATGCAACGCTAGGGATTTGAACCGCCAAACTGCTGACCTTTCCCATCGACAAGCTCAGCGTCTTAGCCACTGAGCTACCACATCCCTAAATATTAGTATATCAGGGGCTTATTTACCTGCCCATCATCACCAATAGTAAGAAAATCTCCATCTTTATCCAAACTGGACACAAATTTTAAGTTTTTGAGATGAACAAAATATAAACAGTACTAGAGATAGAGGATGCCCTGATAATTCTTAAAGAGCATCTGGGATCTCTAGAACTATCCCAAGCAGGCAAGTCCCTCACCTGGCTTCATCCAGCGGTGTCGGCTCTAACATGTTTCCTCCCTTCAGGAGCCTGAGTGCTACTTCCGCTGCCTTATGTTTGGCAGCTTTTTTGCTAGGTCCTTGGCCTAAAAACAGGAAGGAAAGAGATGTCGATACCAAGCCAAAGTCAGAATGAGAACTTCTAAGAGTGAAACATGTATCATTTCCTGCCACGTGGTAGAGATCAAGGGGGCACACATGGGGATCCCTGACATTTTCCATTAGGCTTGGCCTAGCCCTACATAGCTTTAGTAGGGAGGAGTTAAACAGGTTACAGGAGGGATTCCCAAACGGGGGCTCAGGAAATCTCCCCACCCACCCCAAGGAAGAATTGCAAATAACTTGGGGGAGGTCATACTTTAAAAAAAAACTGAATAGACTTTAAGAGCATTAAAACTCATTCTGAGCCTCCTTTTCTCATTTTTCCTAGCACACTGTGCAATTGCAATACAACAAAGTTTAAAAGTTGCTGTGATAGATACATTAAAAATGCATATTTTATTAAATGCTCATTTTATTATAAGCAATCTATTTATTCTTTATCCTAACATCAATTAAATCATTAGTTTTATTCAGAGGAGAGTCACACATACTCATTGGAAAATTCAGGGGGGATCAAAGGATCACGAAGTTGGAGAGCCACTGCTATAGAGCTACCAGTTCTGGACTTCAAAAATCCACTACTAACCACCAGGGGATATTTGTATTTTTACAGGGAGGACCTGGGGGATCTATTATTGCAGGTGTTTTTTTAAGAATTATTCCCAAGTCTAAATGATATTGTGAATTGGGACACAATTTAAGGCAAAGTCAGCAAACTTTTACTGGTTACAATATTTATATTCGTTTTATTTCATTTGCCCGCACATATCACCCATGCTTACTCACATCCTTCTCAACTAGGCTGGCATCACTAGCCAGAGGGGCAAAAGTCTGGATCCAAAGATAACTCAAAGAGTAAGGGCTTCAGAACCCCTGTTAATCTTCCAAAGTCATCGTGTCAAGATTGAACCGCTTTGCCTCTTTCAAAGTTTAATGCATCTCAACTTGCCAATGAACTGGTGGAAGGGAAGGGGGAAATGGAATGATGAGAATGTATGCGGAGATTGTGAGAGCATGGAAACCATCAAGGTCACACTGCAGGTGCTGGACAAAGAGATGGACTGTTCCCATAACAAACAGACATCTTATAATCGGACAAATGTGATCACCCAGGGGTGGGGAAATGGGGAAGCTATTGTTTAATTAGGCAAGCAATTGTGCAGGGAAACCAAAGATGGTTTTGTTTCTTCAATACCAATATGGTGAATCCAATAAAGTTTTACTTTTGAGAATTCAAAGCTCCCAAGAGTGTTTCCTTGATTTTGGTTCACTAGTTGGACAACTGACACCTTGCTTTATTAATTCAGAAGTCTGGTAGCTGTTAGCAGGACTTGAGGAGGGATTTTCCAAGTGCTCAGGCCCAATTTCTTTTGTCTGATTCAGGTGACATTTTTTCCTAGGTTTCCTTAATGACCGAGTTCCTTCTTAATTACTTCCCCTAAGGATTTTTTTTAGATAAGATTCCTTGCTTTTGTCTACTCTGTACCTACTTTTCATGTTTAACTATGGCAACTTCAGCCTAGTCTCACAAAGACCTATGAAAAATAAGGTAAACTGCTTCATCAGTATACTTATTCTTTACCGCAACTAACCGGTGCAGCTGATGTCACCAACTGTGACACGAAAGGTGAAGTTGGGCTGATGTGCTTGTCCTTCAGCTTTCAGTAAGTCATAGACGGGTGTTTTGCCTATGCGTGTCCCATACTCTTGTAGCAGGCTGATCGGGGTCTTTCCAGGATTGGACGCCAGCATTTGCTCTATACTGAGGGAAGCATGGAGATTGAGATGAATATTAGAGCTATTCTTGCCTGTTTTCAATGTTTCTGTATCTGCTGTGATCTCATACTTTACAGCAACTTTTCCCAACTTAATACCTTCCAGATATGTTGGGAAACAACTTTGACTCCCCAGCTAACACAATTTACCAGAGGTGTTAAAAGGTGTAGCTCAATATACACGGAGAGCACCAGATTGAGGAAGACTATTCTATAACAAAGAATGATTGTCTTTCTTTCAACCCCATTCCAAAATATCTCCAGCTTTACCACTGACAGAAGCAACTAAATTTCCATAGTGAGTTCCCCAATGACAACAGGATTAAACTCTTCATTAAAAGATTTACTACAAAATGAACTTTCCCATCTTCATCTGTAGAAAAATCCAATGACAATAGAGTCAATTCAAGTAGAATAGAAACCACAAATTTACACCCCTATGATTGCTTTGATTAAACCTGGAGGTATCGTTTATTTCTAATGCACAGAAATCATTGATACCACATAAGACAGTGTTTTGGAACCAACTGGACCACAGTCCAAGAAACCTATTTATCTAAGTACATTTGCCCATAAATGTATGGCTGTATTACTATTATCCTTCTCATCTATTACACTACCTTCTCTTATTGGTATAATTATTCTGAATGTTATTTTGTTATTCTGAGTATTATTTCTTTGTTGTTTTGCATGTACACTAAGAGCTTATGCACCAGAGACAAATTCTTTGTGCGTCTAATTGCACTTGACCAATAAAGTCTTCTATTTTTATCCAGTCCTATTCTTGCTTTTAAGGCAGCAAGGTTGAAGATATCCTCACGTTTAAGCTTCAATCCTGGTGACAAATATGGACTTAATTATGCTGTTTTCTTAAGTATGGAAGTGAGCTTTCCTGGTGGCCTTTCATCCAAGAACTTCCAGGCCCATCCCTGCTTATCTTCTAAGGCCAGACCAGCCGCATGAGAATAGCACACACAATGAATGGTCACATCAGCTAAACCTCTGTCCCGTGTATTAAAAAGTGCAGATTCTGATTAATTCAAAACTCGGTCCCATTCTTTCCCTGACCCTTCCCCCCACCCCAACTTTCCTTCTGCAGATCGGGAATGTCCCACAGAACTCGACCCTCCCGTGACACACACACACCCCCAAGATGGGACAGCAGCCATAACAAAGTTTAACCCTGCCATGCCAAGCCCAGGTAGGACTTCAGTTCTCATCATCCTTATCCAGCGGCATCCTGGGGAGGGGGGGGGGTGTTGCTGTCAACTAAACTAACGAGATGGTTTCTTTTTCCACGAATGCATGGCTGCTGCTGGCTGTCCAAGGCCCAGGATATCTCGCCCCAAACACGCCTTATACTGCCAGAGCCCGGTGACCCATCATGGCAGGTTGGGCCTCGGGGACCCTTTGGATCGTCGCACGTGAACCCGAAACGCGGCCTTGAGGAAGGGGGAAGGGGGGTGTAAGGGGCGGGGCTTGCCCCTTCCGTCTCCTAGCAACGGTCCCAAAGAGGCGGGGTTATTCACCAGGGGAAGCTGCCGCAGCTCCTGGGGCTCCCGCAAGGCTCCTCCGCCTCCTCCTCCTCGCTCATTCCCTCCTCCTGCCCCGCCGCCGCCGCCACCACAACTCCTTCCACCCTCCAGTCCGGCTCACAAAGGCCGGGAGAGAGGAAGCGATAGTCTCCGGCCGCCTCGAAAAGGCTACGAGGCGCATCCTGGATGCTGGAGTCCACACGAAGACTGCCGCCACAAGGCAACATTGACCAGAAGACTACGCATCCCGTAAGACTTTGCAGCTTCTCTCTCGATACCCTTCAATGCATTGTGGTTGCTCCGGTGCACGCTGGGAGTCGTAGTTCTGTTGTTAATTTCCAAGCTGTAACATGGGCATGGACGTTATGAGTATACCCCAAAGGACGGAGGCGCGTTTCGAGGAGGAATAATTATGCCATTACAAGTAAAAATGCGAATAGCACATCATCATCATGCTATGGATGAAGCATGTAACAGTGATATCCACTGTCATGGGGCACTTGGCACCATGTCCAAGAATTTTACAAGGTACATCCACAAATTGCAGCTTCCTGCAATAACACCAGCAGAACTGCAAAAAGTGTGCTACTTGGAACATTTTATATTTTAAGAAGGTACTTGGTTGATACCTAGGACGCTGGCAGCAAACCGTATCAACCATTANGGTTCTACCGAATAGGTGTGAACTGGTAGGAACCCACCTCTGGTTGGAAGGGACCTTGGAGGTCTTCTAGTCCAACCCTCTGCCTAGGCAGGAAACCTTACACTGTTTCAGACAAATGGCTATCCAACCTCTTCTTAAAGACTTCCAGTGTTGGGGGCAAGCTGTTTCACCGATAGTGGATAGAACCTTTGAGTGAGTGGAACTCTTAAGGCCTCCTCCAGTAGGGCCAAAGGTATGAAACACTTAAAGTATATTATTGGGTGCATTTCTCTACCTTACCAAAATAAGTCCATGGCTGGACACAAAGAACCTCTCTCACAGTTCAATACGCTGCAGAGGTGGTACTCAGCCAGTTCGCTCCGGTTCAGGCAAATCGCTAGTTGCGGCTGCGGGAGTTCCACCCACCCACCCCGACGTAATGCACGAGCACTGCGCATGTGGAGAAGGAGGTGTGCATGCACAGACGCGGCGCGTGTGAGCTCACATTTGCGATCTCGTAGGGAAGGTACATGAATCCCACCACTGCCTTGATAAAATCCTTTTTATAGAGAACCTTACGTGGCAAGACGAGGAACCGGCTCCACCCGCACAGATCATAGAACTGGTGATGGGCCTGTAATGTTTTTCCTGGCATTCGTTTACTGGCACCAAGGGAAGAACAACTTGCTGCAATATGACTGCAGATTCATATGCTGGCAGAAAGAAAGAAAGAAAAAAAATGGTGTAAGAGGAAGCAACCAGCTGGAATGGTCGGACTGAATGAAAGAAGGCAGGCTGGTGTCTTCGCTTTCTCGCTTGGGTTTTCTCAGCCCGCTTGATTCCCAAAGGGCCACTTACAAGTCAGTTTGTCCCGTCCCCAACCAGATGTGACACACTTTAAATCTGGGGAGAAAAGTTCCGTGGGAGAAGCGAGGCAGACCGGAGACACGTAGTCGTTCAGCTCCACTGGAGTAGACAGCTTCAACAGAGCCAGGTCATTATCTATATTGTAAGAATCCCAGTCAGGGTGGGTGATTACCTGAAAAACATCCGGGTTGATTGATTGATTGATTGATTTAGTTTATTTTAGTTTATTTGCCGCCCTTTTCCGGGAGGGACTCAGGGCGGCGAACAACTCNGATTGCACCACAAACGCAGTAGTCATCCTTACCTTTCACAGAGGCACTGAGTTTTATAAATATGAGCATGATAGTGTAGAATAATCATATCCAAGGACGAGTGGTGGGTTTCAAAAATTTTTGGAACCTCTTTTGTAGGTGTGGCCTGTAGATTTGACGAACCGGTTCTACCGAATAGGTGCGAACTGGTAGGAACCCACCTCTGATATACACCGAGAAGCATGGAAATGCTGTTACCTCCCCACCAAAGTGGTACCTAGTTATCTATTCACATTTGCAAGCTTTCAAACTGCAGAGCTGACACATTTCCCTAAACTGGGGAAATATGACCCTTTCCTCTTTCCCAAAGCCATACCTTTTCATTCCTATTCTTTTTTTCTTTACCTCCTATGCTGTATAGCATGTTATTAATCTCTAAATCCAGTTATCTGTAGTTCTCCAATATTTTTAATTTTCCTTTTCACTCTCTCAATTCCCCCACAAATTAAATATCGTTTTTCCTCCTCCTGCTATTGTCTGTCTCCTTTCCTCATTCTTGTTATTTCTGTTTCAAAAGAAGCAATCTATCGAAAAATGCTTGTGGCAAAACCCTTAAAGCTGTTGGGCTGACATTCTGTATGGTTAAAGTCCCCTAAAGACTTTAACAACACGCATTTTAAATCCTCTGATGCAAAAAACAAAAAAAAAACAACCCCAAACAGAGCAAAACAAAATTCAAACCTGCTGCAGGCATTTTGATGCTTCCCATTGTAGCCTGTGGGCAAATCTTTTTTATCAACTCTTGAATTACCTCAGATCAAACCTTGTCACTTTCAAATCTTGAATCAGAAATTTGAGTGGAACTTTTTCAACTTGAGAAGACCCACTACACAGGAAAACTCTCCCTATGCAACATTCGGAAACGCAGGGAACACGTAGGTAGTAAAATGTCAGTCAGGTTCGACTTTAGGACATGGTGCTCATCTCTGTTTCTTAGCCAAGAGAGCCAGGTTGTCCGAAGACAATTTCCATGGTCATCTGGCCAGCATAGCTATACACCAAAGGAACACAGAATGCTTTTACCTTCCCACCTAAGTGGTACCTATTAATCTACTTGCACTTGCATGCTTTCGAACTGCTAGGTGAGCCATGGTGGTGCAGTGCTTAGAATGCTGCAGGATAATTCTGCCCACTGGCAGCAGTTTGATCCTGACCAGCTCAAGATGGACTCAGCCTTCCATCCTTCCGAGGTCAATAAAATAAAGACCCAGATTGCTGGGGGCAATATGCTGACTCTGTAAACTGTTAAGAGCGGGCTATAAAGCACTATGAAGTGGTATATAAGCAGTGTAAAATTCTTTTTTTTACTACCAGTTCTGTGGGCGTGGCTTGGGGGCATGGTGTGGCTTGGTGGGCATGGCAGGGGGAGGATACTGCAAAATCTCCATTCCCTCCCCACTCCTGGGGAAAGATACTGCAAAATCTCCATTCCCACCCAACTCTGGGGCCAGCCAGAGGTGGTATTTGCTGGTTCTCCGAACTACTCAAAATTTGTGCTACTGGTTCTCCAGAACCTGTCAGAACCTGCTGGATTTCACCCCTGTATATAAGTCTAAGTGCTATTGGTAGGTGGGCAGGAGTCTGGAGCAAATAATGGGGGCTCACACCCTGTTCACAGAACTTAGGTCTTGAACCAGGGCTCAGCGTCTTTAACTCCTAAGCCATCGCTCTCCAGATAGTAAAGAGATACTTGTTAGTCAAAGCTGGCAAAGAATTTAGTGTGAGCGAGTGTGCGGCTTCTGTGTTTGATCTCAAAAATAATACTACAGAAATCCATGGGTCACTCTTCTTTTGTTTCTGATTATTTATAAATGGGAGTGATAGGATGGTCCTGTTAACAACAGTACATTTCAAAGGGTAGAAATTCAGATTTGTACTGTTTTAAACCTGGCTTTTAAATGAGGCTATAAATATTTCAATTTCAATGGCTTCTCGAAGTTATTCTGTATATAAACAGTGCTGCCTTTTCAAACAAATTGAAGCCTGAACTCGGTTAAGGAAGGTGATTTTCAGAGTCTACTTTTTTTAAAAAAAAAATCCAGTCTGTAATTTTAAATTTATGCATCGAGGTTTTCTGCTTTCAGCAAGGCTGGGGAGTCTGCCAAATTTGATGGAAATTTAAAATCTGCATAAAGATTGCCTCTGTTTTTGCAAGTGCCCTGATGGTGGTGTTAATAAAGAGGGATGCACGGAGATTTAATGATGTAGGGCTACTGCTGTGTTCCATCATTACTGCTTGGTTGTTACATGGACGCCAATAAAATCGGGTAAGATTTTAAAAATCCTATTAGGAGAAAAATAGCAGATTAGAAGATTAGAACAGATCATCCAAAAGGATCACTGATCAGGATCAACAAGGCTTAATTTAGAAAAACACAAAATCATGGTTCGGAGATGCAACAATGTGCTTCACACACCAACATTTCATCCCCCTGATCACTTAAAATGGTTTTTCAGGGGTTGTGCTAGATTTAGCTAAGTGTCAACTCTAAAGTGAACCTGGCTGGGCCAAGTTTGGTGACGTCAGAGTTGCCACAAAGGGAAGAAGGGATGGGGAGGGGGAACATAGTTAGATGGGGGTTTGTAGCCAAAACAAAATAATTTCCTGTGTTTCCAAAAAAAATTTGCGCACCGAACCGACAGTAATGCCGGCAGCAGCCCACTCTGAACTAAACCCAGATGGACATTTCTTCCAACATTGGAAAGCCAACCGGTGTTCTTTTTGAAGCCTATCTAGAAGCTGCAGGGAAAATGTGCATTCCTGGCTCAGAAAAAGATTATTCACACATGCATGTGCACACAAAGCAAAACAGAAAAGGAAACCAAGATAATCACTAAGGTAAGTAAATTAAACCCTTCTAGCTGTCTTTGCCTAAAGCACATTGTGCTCGGCCTAAATGGTAATCATAGCCTGTCATAATCTGTAGCTTCCATGCACCATGGAATTTTGTTATGTCAATGTGTGTGTGGGGTGTGTGTGTGTGCTCGTACAAACGGACAGAGAAACACACACACTACCACCACCACCAGAAGAATTATATACAGTAAAGCAAGGTCTCCATTAGTGCTATTAAATTGTCCTTTCAGCATAATTCATCATCTGGGACTGATTCCAAAACATAGGAGTTAATGACACTAATATAAACCATCCCAATGTGCCATGTATTTTGCTAGCTTTTATTCCCATGACTAAATGGCTTTTTAATGTACTTTTATTTGCCATGGTGGGAGGGGGGGGTTCTGCTTGAGTGGAGTACAAAGCTGCAGTTGCTCAGATTAACCCTCTCAAGTTCAAAGCAGAATGACAATAATAATAACAGCAACAACAAAAGCAATAATAATAATAACATCAACAACAACAACAACTCTGCCATTGCGGGTCCCAAGCCCGGATGAGAAAGGAGGAGGGTTGGGATCAGGCTGGCAACCTGACCCCATTAAAAAAAAAACGCCAACCCATATAACATGGTGAAAGAAACAAATAAAAATTCTATACCGCATCGGTCGTCGCGCGGGTTAACAAGGGCTGCGGAGGATGTTGAGGTCCCTGGGCATCCGTCGACAAGTGGGCTACAAGTGAACCAGTCAACAAAATGACGTTACGACGTCCTAGGTCCCTGGGTGGGGCCCGACTAGTAATCAATGCCAAATCTGGCGAAACAACTGGCCGCTGTGATACAATTCTGTTGTTGCGATAATAATAATATCACAAAGTACTGGGACTTGCAAAGTGAAGTTGAGTGACTGTGGAAAAAGAAATTGTGTGTTGTACCGATTGTAATTGGAGCCCTTGGCGCAATACCTAAAGGGCTACCTTGCTTTTTGGAAATTTTAAATTTATCAGACTTGAACATTCTGATTCTACAAAAAAACACCCTACTTGGAACAGCTTATATCCTCCGACGTTACCTTAACAGTTCCTAGGTCCTTGGTTAGGATTCAAGCTGTTGAGCTACCAACCAGTCAACATTTAAAAAAATGTATCACAAATACCATTGACTGGGGTTAATGGTTGATATGGGTTGCTGCCAGCGTCCTAGGTATCAACCAAGTACCTTCTTAAAATATATGATGTTCCGAATAGCACAGTTTTTTTGCAGTTCCACTGGTGTTATTGCAGGAAGCTGCAATTTGTTGATGTATCTTATAAAATTCTTGGACCAGGTACCAAGTGTCCTAATGACAATGGGTATCACTGTTACATGTTGTTGTTGTTATTGTTGTTGTTGTTGTTATTATTATTTCACTGGTAAGATCATCTCAAACCTCTTGTACATACAGGTCTTGAAGTACGACCACAAGTGAGCCCAAAATGTATTTCCATGAATGATGGGCCATTTGCTGTTGAGCTATTTGCTGTAAAAATGCAAGGCTATGGCATGAACTCAGAAGGAAGGGAGGAGATGTGTATTTGCAAGGCCTGCATAACCAAGATAAAAGAAAAGGCAGTGTGGACAGGTGGGGCTCCCTTTCAAAGTAGAAAACAAGAGCTGACTCTCAGGCACATCACACAAGACATATTGCTAAGATAAGGAGTAGGGCTAGGACAGAGCCAATAGAAGACTTGCGAAAAGTCTTCTAGGATGCCTATTAGTTAACTTTTAGAAACAGGGTTGAAATAGAGCCAACAGAATGCTTGCTAGATAACTTCTGAAGTGTTTATTAGTTAAGACTCAGAAATAGGGATGGCATGGAGCAATGCTTGTTTATTCCAGCCCTGAAAAAACTTTATGAAAGCTTGTTGAATCCTTTGTTCTGTGTCCCTTTGTTGAAGCGCTTCACTAAAAAGAACCAAAACCCGCACCTCGTGTCTGGTATTCTCCATCGGTTCTGGCACCGAGCTCAGACTCAAACTGGGGAC